CCTCCTCCTCCTCCTCCTCCTCCTCCTCCTCCTCCTCCTCCTCCTCCTCCTCCTCCTCCTCCTCCTCCTCCTCCTCCTCCTCCCCCTCATGCCTATGGCAGTGGCGGTCGGAGGCGGCCCTGCGAGAGGCCCCCGCGAAAGGCGGCGCCGCCCCGCTGGCAGCGCGCCCAGCTGCCGGCACGCGGCTCGCGGGCCCGCCCCGCCCGCCGGAAGAGGCCGGAGAGAGCCTGCCCCACCGACATACCTCCGACGTCGCGAGAAATTCACGACGAAGGTTTTTTACAATGTTCGACCGCTGGAGGCCCTCGCCGGGCCTCGGGAGCGTCAACAGACAACTCGGGATGAAGAACCGGTCCCGGGGAAGGTCTCCAGACTTCGGGGGGCCGACGTCGTGAGTTTCTCACGACGTCGGGTGGCCGACATCGAGATCCAACGCACTGAAAAAAATAACGACGGAGGTGTTTCGCTATTTGTCGGCCTCTCTCAAGGAGTGGCGAAGCGTCCTGGCTCGCCTATAGGTCTACCAACCAATGTTCTAAGAACCTTTTGTGGCTTCCGCGAAATATTCTTATAACATTTCTGGCCGGGACTGTCTTGTTTTAACACGTCGTGATTATGTTCTTAGAACCTGGTTATTGCTGTTAGGACATATCTGGGCTTTAAGAACATGTCGTGGCAGGCCTATCGGAATGCTGGGACGGTCGGTCCCTGCTCAGCTCTAGGGGCCCTCGCTGGGCCCCTAGAGCTGTCAAATAACAATTCGGGATGCAGAGCCGGTCCTGGGGAAGGGGTCGAGACTTCGGGGAGGCCACATGAAAAAACTCTTTTTGATTCGGGGGTCGAGAGCGCATCTCTTCCGGTCGAAGCTAAGCGGGCCGCGCGAAGCTTGAATTAGCCATTGACGGGGGGGAAGGCGCAGCCTCAGAGCGAGGCGCAGCCTCATGTAAAAACTCACGACATCGGATCTCTGGGCAGGGGGGCTCGGGCGGGTGGTAAATATGCGAGGTGGGTGTCCCAAGTGCGGGGGGCGGGCACGAGGGGGGTGATGACTCGAGGGGGGGGGGTCACCACGGCGGGGACCATGACATCTCCCCAGATTTCATGGCGCCTATTCTTATTTCGATACGTCCCCGGACCCCCCCTGGGCCGCGCATGTGCCGCGGCGGCACTGCCGCCGGCCATGATTTGCGCACTTGGACGCCCCCCTGGACGCTCTCGAAAAGTGGGGGCGAAGATAATGGGCCCTTGAGGAATCCTTTTGGAGCCAGCTTGTGTCCCAAAAGGGGCCCTCAAGGGGGGTCCCTTTGGGACCTTTTCCTTCACCCCCCCTTTGGGCCACGCCCCATTACAGTCGGGGCGCTGAAAAAGAAACCCTTTTCGTTTGGGAGTGGCTCAGTGTTCCTGAGCTGTTTTGCAGTTCGCCTTAGGTGTTTCTTCGGTGTTCGATGGGGAGTCGAAGTTGATCTTATGGAGAAAGCGGCCCCGTTCCTTGTACAGGGTTCCTTGGGTCAGCGCCCCGACTGCACCACCCGCCCGCGGGGCGCGCGGCGGCCCTGGCCGGGCACGGCGGTGGCGGCGTATGCGCGGGCGCGCCCTCCCGCGGCGAGGAGCGGCGGGGCCCGGCGGGGGCCCCTCCCCCGGAGTGGCCGTCGCCGCCGAAGCTGGCGCGGCGGAGGTCGCTCCCCGCGCGCGCGGCCCCGGCCCCCAGCACGCAGGTGCGGGGCCGGCCGGCGGCCTCCCCCGCCGCGGCCCCGCGCCGCCCGCCCTGGCCCGCGCCGCCGCGGGCCCGCCCGCGGCGGCCTCGGCGGCCGCGGCGCCCGCGGAGGCCCCGCCCGCCCCCGCGGCGCGGGCGGCCGCGGGCGCCGCGGGCGGGCGGCTCGACGCCGCCGCCGAGGCCGCCGCGGCGGGCGGGCCGCGGAGGCCGCCGAGGCCTCGGGCGCGGCGCCCGCGGAGGACGGCGGCGCCCGGGCCGCGGCTGCCGCCGGCGGCGCGGCGCCCGTGGACGTCGGCGCCCCAGCTGCGCCGCGCCCGGCCCGTCCTCGGCCCTCCGTCGTCCGCCCCCGCTCAGCCACGCGCGGGGGGGTCGGGGAGGCTTCTTTGGAAGCACCCCCTGCTCCTCGGGAGGCGCGGGCCCTCTCTGCAGTAGGCGTATGGGGCCGGCGCCTTCTCGGAAGCAGCCTCCCTGTAGCCCTCGGTGCGCGCCGCCGATCCGTCCTTTTTCAGTTCCCTCACGTCCCCGACGTTGCGAGTGGAGGGTTTCTCCGAAGGGCTTACGCGACCCGTGCTCCTCCTCCTCCTCCTCCTCCTCCTCCTCCTCCTCCTCCTCCTCCTTCCTCCTCCTCCTCATCTCCTCCTCCCCCCTCCTCCTCCTCCCCCTCCTCCTCCTCCTCCTCCTCCTCCTCCTCCTCCTCCAACTCCTCCTCCTCCTCCTCGGGTCGCCTACGGCCCCGGGGGAAACCGTGCAGTTGCGAGTTGTGTTTCGCGCAGGGGTGTTTGCCTGAAGAGTGCCGCGGAACGATGGGATCTAAGGTTTGATTGTGATTTCTCCAGGTGTTGTTTTTTTCCTGCGGCGATGGATGAGCTTGATCTCGCGATCGGTGTGCGCTGCGTGCCTACGCGGCTCTCGTCCCGCTAGGGAATCTGGGATTAGGGGATTAGTAGAACCCTAACGCTGGCAAGTCGACTAATGGGCGGACGCGACCTCTTGTGTGTGTGTGTGTCTCGCGAGGGCGGTGCAGCCGCCGTGTTTGCCGGCCTGCGCCCGCGGGGGTTCGTCACCATGCCCCTTTCACCAAGCGGGGGGTGCTAGGAGGCTAATACTCAGGAGAGTAAAAACACACACACACACAGACACAATTATTTTTCGATTCCTCAGAAAAGATGGAAATATGGGAAGTGGGGGGGAAGACAGAAACCCCGAAAATATGGGACAAGTATGGGGAATCTCTTTATTTGTGTGTATTTATTTGTGTGTCCTGGGGCCCCTTCAAATACCTGAGATCCGATATCGTGATTTGTTCAATATGGGTCCCCAGAAGTCCCGACCCATTCCACAGGACCGGCTTTTCATCCTGAGTTGTTTTTTGAGGGTCCCAAGGCCCGGCGAGGGCCCAGGGAGGCCCGAAACGACGACAAACCTCCGTCTCGATCTTTCGAGACGCCCGATGTCGGGGGGAAGGGGCTATCTCTTTCCACCCCCGAGTGACGGGGGCGTGCGTCCGCGAGCTCCCCAGCCGCCCGGAAGGCCGCGGGAGATGCTGCCGCCGCGGTGCTGGTGGCCGCGGCGCCAGAGGCCGCCGCCGAGGACGCCGCGCTGCCGCAATTCGCTGCGGGCGCCGCAGCGTCGGAGGCCGAGGAGGCAGCGATCGCCGCGCGGGGGCCGTCCGAGGACGGTGCCGCGGCGCCGGGAGCTGCCGCGCCGGCGGCCGCGGAGGCAGCGCGCGCCGCGCGGGGGCCCGCCGGGGAGGGTGCCGCGGCGCAGGCGGCCGGCGGCAGGCAGGCCCCCGCGGGCGGTCGCGCCGAGGACTCCCGTGGGGGGCGCCTGGGCTGGGGGAGCCTTCTGTCGGAGCCGCAGGGAGCGGGGTCTCGGAGAGGGGGGGGGGGCCTTCGAGAGGCAGGGGCCTCGGAGAGGCCCTCGCGCGCCGCGCGGGGTTCGTGGGGTGCAGGCGGGTCTTCGTGAGGCCGGGGGCCCCCCCCCCGGGCGCTAGGCGGGCGCGCGAGGTGGGGCTCTGCGCAGATCGGCGGTTCAGACATGGGGCCCTGAGGGATCGGGCCCTCGAGACAAGAGCCTCAAACAGTGACGCTTCAATTTGCGATCCATGTCCTCTTTGAACCTCGGGACAGAGAGCTCCACAGGAGAAGCCGGGGTCTCTGAGACCATCGCGCACAACGCGCGCCTGATGGATCCAAGACGCTTTAATATCCGCAGGAGGTCTTTGGTTTTGATCCCCCCCTGTTACACTCGGCGGGTAGTGAAACTCGTCCCTTCTCCTCCTCCTCCTCCTCCTCCTCCTCCTCCTCCTCCTCCTCCGCCTGCTCCTCCGTCTGCTCCTCCGTCTGCTCCGTCTTGATAGTAGCTGTGGCGGCTAATTGCTCGTAGTCGTAGCCGTAGCCTTCGTCATCGTCGTCGTCGTTGCGCGGCGGGAGCCGCGGAGAAACAATCATGTGCCACTATCGGTGGGACCACAGTCTGTCAAGAAGGGCGTCGAAAAGGACACTTCATTTCCAATCTGGGGGGGGGGGGGAAGGTACGCTCACAAGGCCTCCTGGGCTCCAGGGCCACTTTGTGCTCAGAAGGGGGCGTTTGTGCCTGGGCCGCTCCTCCGGCCTGCGTGGCAGGGCCCTCGTCGTGCCCACTGGCGCCCCGTGGCCAGGAGAGCCCCGCGGCCACCGTTCCGTGCCCCGTGGCACGCGTTTGTGCCTGGGCTGCTCCTCCGGCCTGCGTGGCAGGAGCCTCGTCGTGTCCATTGGCGCCCCGTGGCCAGGCGAGCCCCGTGGCCAGGAGAGCCCCGTTCCGTGCCTCGGCCACGGTCCCGTGCTCGGTGGCACGCGGGGCAGCCCAGGGCTGGGCCCCGCGGCCCGGCCCGGCCCCTGCTGGTCCGGCG